CATGCAGTGCAGCTTAACTATGTACACCAAAACAAACAGTATTTTTAACAAAAATGAGTTAAAAAAAGAAAGAAAAACTCCATGAAAAATATATTCCATGTTTTAAACAGTACACTTAAGACTTTTCAACAATCCATTTATTTAGAAAGTCTGACATCCTAAGTTTAGCCCTGAGGAATTTCCCAGGCACCTCAAAATGTGAAAGCAAAACTACAGCTTTGTTTGCTTTATTTTTGGAAGGCAGGTCTATGATCAAATAGGATTATTTTAAGTACAGGCTCCTGGAGAGCTTAGTACTATAGCTTGGTGTTATAATGTCTGCCCTGTAAGATAGCAATGGCATCAGCTTTGCAAATCTGCAAAAACTAGTATGTTATCTGGCATCAAGACTACATCCAACTGCAGTCTTTATTTTTTTTATTTCCATTTTTGGAGATAAGGTTTTGCTGTCACCCACTTAGGACAGCAGTGATCAATCATAGCTCACGAAAGGGTCTCCCAAAGGTCACCCATAAAGCTGTGAGATGAGACGTAGGGAAAATGGGAAATTATGGATAGCTGTACCTTTATTTACAAAATATTCATTGTGAAATTTTATAAAGAGGTGGCCAACACGAGAGGATACTTTGTATTCTGTAAATGTTTGTGATGAATATTTTGTAAATAAAAGTATGTCTAGCTACAATTTCTCATTTTCCCTATGTATGGTGACTTTAGGGACCCACTATGTAACAGAAAAGGTAAAGATAAACCTTGAATGCCTTCCTTTACCTCCAGCTAATGACTTAGGGCAAACTTTACGGCCAACCTTTGGGATATCATGTAGATTTCAGTCTTTATAATTAGACATCATTTCTTTCCAAACTGGACTCTTTACTAAGCATTTCTCATAATCCAAATTGGGAAAAGATACCTGATCTTTCACAAGTGGCCATCATCAGAGCTGAAAAGTCACTGCCTTCTAGTCAAATGACTAAATAAACACTTGCTAACTAAGAAAAGAGAGTTCTAATCCCCTATTAGATTATTAAGTATTATTAGTTATCACTTCTATACAGCCTGTAATGCTGTCTTCCACTTTAAATAATCAGTTCAGTTATCCATAATTTAGGTTAAACACTTCATTTCCCTCTGATTTGGTGGATGTGTACCTCAGCATAAAGCTTAAGAGAAATAAAGACTGAACATATGGGTTCTGATATAGGGTCACTTCTAATGCCAGACACTGCTAATCGTGCTTAAATCTCTGAACTACTGGCAACATCATGACCTACCTGGGTGGTGTTACCATAATCCATTATTTTCTAAAGCTGTCAACCTGAGGCCTTGAGGTGGAAAGGTGCTGCACAGAAATGAAATCCAGTTGCATTTGGAAGCCTACACCTCTGTGGGAGTTCAATCAGGTTGAGTACAGTTCTGTGCTACACAGAACAGCTTTCAGTGCAGGAGGCAGGCCATTAAATGCTTTCTGAACTCCATTAGTTACTCCTGCTGAGAGGGAAAAGTTCTCATAAATGCATAAAATTTAAATTGTGTATGAGGTAAAGAAGGAGGTGGTACTTTGCTGCCTCAAATGTATTATTTTCCATTCAAATGGTCCATAATCACACATGTAAGGCAATGCAGACCCGAGGGATCGCAGCACTGACAGGAAGGAATCCTGTCTCCAGAATCTAGTGACATCTTATCACCCAGTCATGACCCCTGTATTTGCTTTTAGGTGAACTTATCCTTTGTTCCTTGACCCCATCTAGGTTTATGTGCTACAGGTAGAGCCCCAAACTTCTACTCCAGTCTAGACATGGGAGCCAGGACGGCCGAATCAGAGCACCAGAAATGCTTGGTCCAGGTAACTGGATGAGGGACAGCATGTGGCCCTGACAGCACTGAGGTGCAACCAGGGGTGGGCACGGCAACTGAGAAAGAGACAGTCACTCTTTTTAACCCCTCTATTCTCCCTAAACCTGGGAGAACCAGGTTTGAGATTGTAGTCAGCTATCTGCCATCACTGGAAACCTGGGAAGGCAGGCCATGCCAAGACGGTCAAGTTGGGAGCTGATGAGACACTGGGTCCTTACGACTGTTTGGTAGTCCAGAATCTAGTTGTACATCTGACTTTTCAGGTTATGTTAAGCAAGAGATCCTAGTTTTTATTAGATTTAGGTTTATTTGCATTCAAAATAGTCCTCATTGATAACCAATTAAAATGGAGAACCACACTTTTAGTCTTGGGTGAGGCAATCTACAGACAAGGATGGACACTGAGACGCATTGAAGCGGCGTGCCCAGGTCCTTTGCTAGTTAGTGGTGTACCTAGAATCAGAACCCAGCTCTTCTGTTTTCTCCTTTGATGTTTTCCCTAGACTATGGGAAAAATTAATTAAAAAATAATTATGAAACACATTGGATTTGTTTAAAACTTTTAATTACAACTCTGTTCTAATTAAAAGTTTACTTCTTATTATAAAAGGAATTTATGGTTAGTATTTTAAGTCATTCTTTACATCATTCCCTAGACTGCAAACAACCTGAAAACACACTAATAATTTCTCAGAAATGTGCCTATAATCTGCTACTGCAGCAATAGAAATAGCCCAACAAAATAGCTTAAAATGTTTTATTAAGTATATATAATATTACAGTATAGTATTTACAAAGTTATGTTTTTTAAATAAAAAAAGTACCTTGGCAAAGATTGCAGATATTCAAAGCTTCAAACAGGGATAAATTGATTTAATACATATATAAAAAAAAAGAAAACCTCTAACAGTAACACAGCTGTAAAACAACTTTGGTCTTTAAATCACTGCAAAAAAATGGCTACTGACAAATAGTACACCTTTAATTGCTGTGCAAAAAAGCCCCCAAGTGAGGATCTTGCACATAGCAACACTGGAGTTCTCTTTATTTAGAATGGTTAATGGATATTTATACAATGTGGGATCTAATTCTCAACAATGGCTTTTTTGTAAATAATGCTCCATTTGATAAAAACAAAAAATGTTTTCCTCTCTCACCAACCACGCTAACAACACTTTTAAGATTCCACTGATGTTGTCTTACAAAGAAGCTTATTACAAATGCTTTCTTTTTCAAAAGGCTAAATTGACGGGAAAGCTGGCCTTAAACGATCATAATTAAAAGCTGGCAAAGCTGAGGCCAGAGAAACCTTCTCACCATTTACTGCTCATCTCAAAGTTACCTGGCTTGTCCCAATTAGCCACTGAGAATGATTTAACGAAGGACCTCCAGTGGGTGATGGCAGTTAGTAATTTTGAAAATATGACACATCCTTAAAAAAAACTCTCAACCAAATAAAATACAATAGAAAGGGTTGCCCGACAATCACTTCTCCAGTTTTCAATAGCAAGTAAATAAAGGGCTGTGTATTTCCATACATACACTGCAGACCCACACTTCTGAATATCCATTTTTAAAACACGAGAAATCTACAGGTGATAATAGAGCTTAATTTTTATTAGTGAGAGACAGGAATAAGCTTATAACTTTTTGAGTTTTATTAACTCGAATCACAATTTGGTCACTTACTAAACTGATGACAGCATTATTTTAATTCTAAAGTTTTCAGGAATTTAAACAGAATGGACCTAGAGTTTCCAAGTGAAAACTCATTACCTTTTAAGGTTTTTAGAACATGTGAATTTCTCAAACAAAACAAAACAAAAAACCTTAAAGAACCCCCTATATCTCCCTAGCTCACCCTATTAAAAACAGTGAAAAAGTTAAATACAGAAAACCCTCAATCATCTAACTCTGTGATTTTCACCTGGCGTGCCATGAAAAATTTTAAAATTATTAATTAAATTATTTCTGAAAGAAGTTCAAAGCACAGTAGGTATTTTCATTTATTGACTCTGTTTTGGGGATCAACATAATTTAAGTGTGCTATGTGGAAGTTTAACTATACGTTCAAGTGTGCTGTGAGATAAAAAGGGTTGAAAACCACTGATCTAACTGATGTTTTGAGCTTCTAATGTTTGCAAAATGCTGCAGGATGAAAGGAGGAAAGAAAGCTCTCACTATGGAAGGAATGTTAAAATCAAGTGAAGGATCAAGAGAACAAATGCCAAGAGAACTGAGAATAGACACATGGAGTGCCAGCCGAGGTGAGGAGGGTTGAAGAGGCAGCTAGACAGAGGGACAGACTGCTAAGCAGGGCCAGCAAGGGGGGGGTGCAGGGGGGTGGGGGCGGGGGCAGGGCTGGAGCAGCATGTTTCAAAGGAGAAGGAAAATTTGATTTTGCCAAAAAAGCTGGAAGGGTTGTCCCAGAAAATGAAAAATGGTGTCACTCGGAGAACAAATACTAAATAAAACTGGAAGGGCTGATAGTAAAAACTGGGATCAGGGAGCATATTATGGGGCAAACAAATAACACGATGCTCAAAACATTGTTAGCAATTTAAATTTGATGTGACAGAGATTGGGAGCCATTATCTGTCTGATTTAAAGAGAATCAACTGGCCCAGTGACGCCCAGGCAAGGGGACTCCTGCAGCTGTGGTGGCTTATCCACAGAAGCTGGCAACCAGGAAGAGCAAGAGTTGATTTCATCTGGCGTCTCCCCTGCTACCTCTGGTGGCACCGTCTAGGGGCAGTGAATGCCTCAAAAGGCAGGCAGCGTTAAAGACACAATTAATGGATGAGATCCAAGATCAAACCCCAAATAATTGAGTTTGTGATATATTAAAAGGTAATATTTTAGTTTATAAAAAATTTACTATAAAGATTTTCATACCTGATTTTCTTAATGGAGAATAGGAATTTGGATCTTTTTCAAGTCCATCTGCTTTTTTCCTCCTTTCGTCAAAACTGATTTCTAAAGTAGAAACTATATTACCCAAATGTAAATATTTTCAGAAGGAAAAAGATCAGCACAAGCCATCAGCTTTGTATAAAGGAATACAGCTCCCTCTACACATGCTAATATTTTGAACAAATACACAATCAGGGAACAAAATATATATATATATATATATATTTAAGAAGAGCAGTCTTGCTAGTGTATTCGATTTTTGGAGAGGCCTTAGCAGGTCATAAATTTAGGTTTGCCAAGGGCAAACCACTTGGTCCCAACATGAAATATGACAATTAATTCAGCATAAAAGAGGCACATGGAAACAGTCAGTGGACTGAGAAATAACTACTAACGCAACTATAAATATGGATGTCTTATTACACAAACAGGAAGAATTGCGTATTTTTAGAGGGTATTGGTGAGCAGTCAAAAAGCGTGACAAATGTCCTAGCAGTTTTTAAAGTTTTGAGTGATCAAATATTTGCATCAAATATAATTCCAGCCAATAAAGATCTTTATTTTTAAATGTTTTTTACTAAAAGCACAAAATGAACCTTTGCTCTCCTGTAGGTAGCCCACTTTTGTCCATATAGAAGATGCATGTGCCTATCTTATACATACGCACATACAAACACACACCCACAAACGAGGTAAAAACGAGTGCTAAAAGTCTAAAAGTACTTGAGGCGTTCACAACTGTCAGAACGTTAATTTTCTTCTAACTGGGATAGGAAATGTGGGTTTCGTTTTATTTTTCAATCTTAGGGGAAGGGGAGTACGAGGCAGGACTACAGGAGGAAGGTGATGAGTGTTCATCATGCAACACAGATACAACAGTAATAAAACCACCCTTTCAAGGGCTGGCCTGGTGGCCTGATGGTGACACACATTTTGTTGCCATGCAGGAGACTCATAGTTCAAATTTCAATCTTGCTTTTTCATGCCTTGGATCAGAAAAGAAGTGAAGAAACACTGTAGATTTTTGCCTTCAAATCAGAGGAAGGGAATACATATGTTACAACCATAGCTATTTTTGCTGAAAAGTGTGAACATAGTGCTCTGAGAACAAGTCTGGCTCCTTCCTGCAACTGATGTTACCGTGTCACTGGACCATGTTCAATGAGGAGAAAAGGTGCTACATCTTGTACAGCAGAAGCAAATAACAGGAGGACAAGACAGGGTTTAAAGAGTTGTGTGAATAAAAGAAAAACACATCCGTCAATCAAAGTATCCTAAATCTGCAAAGGATTTATTACACTGTATGTTGAACAGGGAATGTGTGAAAGGCAACCCCCAAGAATGAAGACCACTATCTCCATCAATACCACATCACACGTATGTGACATACAACATGTTCCCAATCAAACTCCTGTCTGTACTCAATTCACTCTTCCCTTGGCCCCAACGTGGCAGACACATTATTCAGCTAATACTATAATTGACAAAGCTGTTGTGAACCTGAGTTTGCTAAGGTTTGATGGAAGCCACTGTTTTTCACTGATAGCTCAGGATAACCCCCAGGTTACTGCGACATACTGTTCACCCTGAACTAATCTAAAATGGTGACCTAGAGTCTAGAAGTCCCAGGATTTTAAAAGCATCATTCTTGGAAGCTGCCCATTCTACTTTTGGCCCTAATCGAATAAAGTAACAAAAACTGGATCTCAATTGGGCACACAACACATTATAATTCTTTTATTAACTAAATGACAGCTGCTTTGAATAAAAATGTAACTGTAACAATCACTTGAGGGTCAAGGACTTTTTTCTCCCATCATGACAACTTTCTCTCGGTTACTTCTCTTGGTTTCTTCTCCCCAACGATAAATCAAGGCCATGGTGCTTAAACACAAGTGTATTCCTCTCACTTCTTACTACTTTCCAATCACAGTCCATCACTTCATTATCAGTTATTCTGGAAAATTGAAAAATGAACATATAATCATTGTTCATATCTATTTTCCATCCATTAAGAACTTGATGCATTAAAAAATTTGTTTCAGATATATAATTTCTAAAAATAAAGCAGATCTTCAGAGGTCAGAGACATCCCAGGCAAATCATTCGCCAAAGTCGAGTGCCAAATGAAAATAAAAATCAACACAGTCTAATAATTCCAGTTTGCTCGTTTAGCTGAGGGAACATGAAGGGATGTTGACTTTTTTCTAGAATAATGTTGATCATTCTGGAATAATGCTGTATCACATTCACTTTAGATGTACACCATTCATTTAATGTAACTGAAATAGGACCAAGTGAAGGTGAAAGAGAAAACGGTACTATGATCCCACGGAAGTTGCCTCAAACCTCATTCACTGACAAGGCAGGCACTCTGTGAGTACCAAGTGGTAGTAGGAAAACCCACCAGACATATAAAAAGGGAACAAATTCTAATCCCTAATTATTGCAAAATTACGTGAATTTTCATCATAGATTTTATGTGTTATCCACATATAAATAGTCAAAGCAACACTTCCTACAATAACTTCTGATGTAGTAGGTAGGTTTTTAAAAAGTCATGTCGTAAGGGAAATTAACAAAGGAAGAAGCACTCAAGGTTTTTAGATTGATTTTCTGAAAATGGAGAAAAGTTGAGTTTCTTCATACAACTACAGAACAATGGCACGACAGCAGGAAAAGGAAAGAACATAAAAATTAAAAAACAAGACACCAGAATGTAAACATGGACAACTGTACCACAGTTCCAGATGCCAGCTGGGTTTTAATGTCTTTTAATTTATTCCTACCAACACTTTTTAAAAAGAGGGCAGCAGCTTATATAACAAACAATGCTTTTAAAGGTTGTGACATAAAGCTACAAAAGTGGGATCATTCTGTGACTGCTGGTTGAACACAAGCCTAAATATTTTAAACTGTTCACCAACACATGACTGCCGTTTGCATTCTTATGCACTCAGGAGAATATAGCTGCTTTGGCTATGGAGATGAGCTTGTAGGTCACAGACTTTGAAACAGTAAAATACAGAGCAAACTATTCACGTGATCAAGGAATGGGTATAAATATCAAAGGTAAAAAGAAATTTTTAACAATGAGATAAAATAAATATAATTACTAAATGCCAGCGAACCTGAAGAATCACAGCATATTCAGGGCAAACCAAAACCAATGCTTCTAACACTCAATATCTCAAGAAATATTCAGTAAAGATTAGAAGGAAGTTATTAGGCCATAGATCCAAATAAAAGAAGCAAAAGCTGAATGACTAAACATCTTTTCATCTCTCCTTTTAATCATCTCTCAGAAGGTTAGAACCAAGTTCCTGGTTGGAAAAGCAGAGATTAAATCCTGGTGGGTTATATGCAACAGGATCACCAACACCAGCACAAAAGAAACTCTGCCAAATGATAAGGATTTACATCAAATTATTTACGTGCCTTTTAAAAAGCATTTTACACTTACAGTCCACAGATACTGAATCTCTAAAATGTTTTACAAAAAGTGGCAATTTCTCTTTTCTGTGAGGCATATGATCAGAATCCGATTTGGGACATCGTATGGTTTTTATGATAGTGGTATTGCAATTTTTAGCAAAGGAGATTTAAGTTTTATACATCAAGAAACGTGGACCTTTATCATTTGACAGTATCGCTTTTACCAAAAGAAAGCCATACTTTCAAGAAGCTTGTTCATTTTTCAGTGTCCACATTTTATCTAATCTATAATTACAGGCACATTTTATACTTACCATCATTCATCATTCCTTTTGATTCTTTAAATGCTAAGGATTAGTAACAAGCCAAGTAGACAGTTAGTAAAGGTGCACAATTAGAAATCATTTCTAAGTAAACAAATATGCAGTAATATGCCAACTATTCTACAACTATACAGCCAAGCTAATTTTAAGGCTATCATTTTATTGCAAAGCCTTTCTGTGGATTATACCCAAAGTAGCCACGAAAGAAAGAGATTTAGTTGGGAATATGGATCTAGATTTATAGAAAGAGAGATGTTTTAGTCTCACTCCACTGGGACAGAATGTGTCTTTCTGAAGTTTATAAATCAGAAATTGGAATAACTGAGATTCTTCTCTACCTAGGGGTATTATGCTTCATCTTGGCCAATATGAAAGGACAATGGTCCCCTTGCTCAAATGTTACTTGATTAGGGCAAGTAACTACTTGAAAGGCACGAAACAGTGCATTTTCCCAGAGGTGAGAGTGTTACAAAAGCAATAGTCGTAATTATTGGTATATAATTCTGAGAAGAAAGGGCAAGGCAAGGAAAACAAAAAACCCTAGGTTCTAAGGCACTGATGGGGCATTCTAACTGCTTTGAGGGCAGTTCAAATTATGATCTGGTAATGGATCAAGATTGAAATAACCACATACCATTAAGGGGTTCTTCTACGGCTTTCTGAAAAATATTTAAAATACATTTACATAAAAATATAATTTATTTCATATCCTTTTATACTAAAACTTATATATGCCAATATTTAAACTATATAGGAAGCAGTAAATCCTATGGTCTAAAACCAAAAGGCCATAAGCAAAGCTTGCCGAGTCTTGTTAATAGTTTAATAATAACTGTATTATTCTCTTAATATTCTTTTTCTACGAAGAATTTTCCACCCCACTGTCTCCCTCAGTTCAAGAAATCCTAACTTCTCAAAACTTATTAACATGCAAACATAAATAGCAACAAAAGAATATAGTTAAACCCGAGATGGAAGCAAAGCAGACCCATTTTTAAGCCATGCAAAGTGAACTCAGTAACAGAGAGAGAAAAATGTGTTAGAATTTCTATTATCTCTAAGAGGCACTTGATAATTGATGGCTGCTTGAGATCTGCGTAAATATGGCACCAATCTTTCTAGAACAAACATCTGTGGGAAGAGAAATCCACCCCACCCACCTCTGCCCTTTAGGCATATCTGTTGAGGTCTGTCAGACTTGGAAGCAAATGGAACCTTCACCTCCTGCCACAGATACAGAAGGCTTTCTTTGGTATTCCAGGTAGAACTCTCATCAATCCTTTATAAGAAGCTAAGTACGACATAGTCCTTTCCGGATCTTATTTCAATAAACTAGCCCTCAGGCTTGTCACTATAAGGAGTTTATACTTAAAAAAGACTTTTTTCCTCCTCATTTATGCCCTCCTAAATGTGCTCCTTTCTTGAAATTTTCTCAGAAAGGTTATTAAGGTGTCCACAGTACAGTGAAACCTAAAGTACAGTTTTAAGGGGGAAAAAGTTTATAAAACATTTTTATGACAGGGGAATGAATCATAACTCAGAACAGATTATTTGTAGTAATATTTATATTTATTCCATAATTGTCGTTTTTAATTATGTAAATTTAATATAAACTTCTCTTTTTAATTTTTAAGCCTGAAATTGTCGTTCTGTATATGTGCATCAAACAAATCCAACAGGTGAGACAATATATTGGCATTAGCTCCCTTCTGATTGCAGATATATTATAGCCATTACTCCTACACGTAAACTTTCCAGTTCTGGGTATGAGAAGACAGCACAATCTTAAGGAATCATTTATTCCATCCCATTGATACTAAAATGACCCAACAGTTTTAAAATAGAACTGGATTCACTCATGCAAAGGTAATGAAATGACTTCAGCATTCTCTTTACTTGATGTTACACTAAACAACAAATTGTCTCCATTCCCATTCCTCGGTTTAACCCATCAAATGATCATTCTCAATTCATTTAGTAAAATTTAACTTACTCTAGGAGGTTGTATGGTCTTCTGATTGGAAGCTTATATAAATAAAAAAAATACAAAGTTAATAAATGAAATTAAGACAATGTAATATTTAACTTTAAGATAAAACATATAGGGCTAACACTAAAGGTACCAAAGACTCTAAGAGGTCCAGAATTGACAGTTCATTTAAGAATACAGAATATTCTTAATTAAAGGCTTTGATTTAAAAAAAATGAAGCAAATAACCTACTTACATCAAATAACAAGTATGCATTGGCTCTCACTTGTGTATGTCATCTTTCCCCCAAATGTGCCACTTGTTAACACTTCTTGGTGGAAAAACACTGTCACCTACTTACCCCACCATGGGCTCTCCATCCTCCCTACGCTACCCAGGGGAAAGGTGAACAGACCTGCAGTGACTGATCCCCTGTCTATGCCACCACCCTTAGCTCACTGCTCCTGTTCCTTGTAGCCCAGTCCTTCCCTCCATCTTTCCAGTTTTCAAAGCCCCAAATAGATAACAAACTAACTACCTGGACCCCCTGAGTTTAAAGTGTTTCTATACGTGTTGCTTCTTAGCTTTCTGAGTCACCCTTTCCACTGTTCTTAAATAGATTGGTTAATGAAGATGAAGGAACATAAGGCATGAGGAAAGTGACAAAAGGGAAAAGAACGGCTCTAATTGGGTAGGAAAGAAGAGATAACTTCCTTACAAAAACCAAGGCAGGCAGCCCCAGGGCAGCTCAAACCAGCCCTAAATATAGAATCATAGCTGTACAAGTATAGTGTACAAAAGCATCCGCCAGCAATATTCTGTGAATCATTCAGTAGGAGAGTGCTCCTACTGAACAGAATGGTCAATGTCACTGAAATCTGGACTGGGTGACGGCGCTGCATTTCTATGAGCAGACTGAGGCAGGCACCCAGGACTTCCCTGTGCTCCTTGCTACTTAGTCACTACCAGTCCCCACCCTTACTCTCTGGAGCTTCTGAAGCTGGCAGGAAACAAGGGGTCCTGACTCAAAGACAGACAATCTGTGGTGGCTGTCAGAAGCCAGAAGCCACATGGTTCTCTCAACAGGACAACTGGCACTGCCTGGCCTGACAAGTTTCTCTCTCCCACTGGAATCTGAAGAGAAGAAAAAGAAAAAAGACTAGATGGGAAAGGAAGGTGAAAAAGAGACATAGAAAGAGGCAAGGAAGATCTCAAAGCTCGGAGCTACAGTGAGAAACGCTCCCTGTGAGAAGACACAAATCGGACAAAAAACAGGAGATAAAGAAGAGGGTGAGTTAGCTGGTTCACAGGGCAAGAATCAAAGGCAGAGGAACTCTCCAACTACCACTGGCAGAGGGCACCAACTAATGCCTGTTGCTGAGAGGGCACCTAACAGCTCAGTCCTTAGGGAGGTGCTGGATCCTTCCAATTTCTAGGCCAAGTGCTGTTCCTCTCTCTGTGGGGCCTCGTGATGTATCTGTACTTGTAAGATTCCTGTGTCTGTCAGTGCCATGTGGGCTTTAAATCAACCTCCTTTTCTGTGCAGGCACTTGGGTGTGTTTGGTCCTTCCATATAAACAAGAAGGCAACCTCTTTAAAGCAGTATGGAGCAAAATACGTGTAGCTATCTCCTAAATAAACCAAGCAGAATTAAAGACCTTTGCTAGGGGCCATCACTGTCCAGATAGTTACATGTATACACAACTCACTTCAGCTAAACCATGCCCTGTATCTATGTTCTATAAAGGAAAAGAGAACAGAGCAGCTATCTAAATTTCAGATGATTAATAGGAAAGGTCAGAGATAAGGACTTAGAATTATATTTTTAGCTTACAAATCAATTGATCAGAATTAATATTGCCAGTTGTAGTGGCACACCTATAGTTCCAGTTACTTAAGAGGCAGAGGTGTGAAAATTGCTTGAGCCCAGGACTTTAAGGCCAGCCTGAGCAACATTATGAGATCCCATCTCAAAAAAAAAAAGCAATGAAGAACTACCAAGCAATTCCTTTTCTTTCCTAATAATGTATAAAGAATAGTTTCTAAGTTCCAATTCTTTGATCCAACAGATGTCACATGTGGCTAGCCCATTCTGAAAAAAGAGATCTATGAAGAACAGTGATTCAAAGGGACCTCAGTCAGTAGTGATCCCTCTAATATTACAAAATTAAACAGAGGAGAAGTTAATTTCACCTGAGTTAATTCTCTCCTATAGAGAAAAGAGTGGTTATGATTTAGCTGCTGCTACCATGGGTTTAAGGCACTAATAGCCATATATACATATATATATATGGCTATTACTGCCTTAAGCATTCCGTGTGAGCTTTCTTGCAAAGAATGTTGATTTATTCTTCTCTCCCTGAAACCCCTAATCCTAACCATGTGCCATACACACACACACACACACACACATATATATGTCCAGGCCTTGAATTTTTCAGAAACTTTCTAGTGATCCCAGATTTATCTCTCTTCAACAATGAGCAAGAAAACGTCTCTGAATTTTTTTCAAGATAGATGACTAGACACATTCTATGCTTACTTCACCCACTTAGAAGAACTAAAAAAGTATATAGACAATAGTATTTTGAATCCAAGAGGTAACATAGAATTTCAACAGAAAGGTGATAGGAAACATCAAAAACTATAAAGCAAAAGGAAAAGAGGCAGTCTGCTGGAAGGCAACCCCACAATATCGGGAGAGCAGGAGTAAGAGACTCTGCGGTCTACTTTCCCACTGGGGAATCAAGAAATCGAGGCCAGGACAGCAGGTTGGCCCTCCCAACCCCTGAATTTAATTTAGGGAGCTGCTGAGAGACTGTAAGGAGAAGGTACTGCTCTGTGGAGGGAGTCTGCCTTAGTCACATGCTCTTTCTGAAACTGAAGCCACTCTTTCTGAAGTGGCTATAGCAAGCCACTTCAATTCTAGCCTGTAACAAAATGCACTCTGTTCTGGGACCCAGCAGTCCCACTCTTAGGTGTTAGAAAATCTCTACCTTTTGCTTGCAGAACTGGGGTATGAATGGAGGTGACTCCCACAGCTAGGGCTGAGAAAAGAGTGTAGCGTGGGCTGTGGCTGCTGACACTGGGAAGTGGGGAACAGCAGAATTAAGACCAGGACTTGAGCAGGTTCTAAGTTGCTGCAGAGAACTGGACCTAAGCTGGGCAGGGGCTCCTACAGCCTGGGACTGAGATGTGGGTTAGGTGCAGAGAGCTACGTCTGACAGGAAATGTGGGTCTGCTACAAGAGGTGGAACTAAGGAGTGGCCCCTATCAGGACTGCTGTATGAGAGGGATGTATGTCCCCCATCTGCCAGCCAAGGCCCTAGCACAGTGACTTTCAACTGGTGTACTGATGTGCTACAGAAATTTTTAAAGATCAGTTAAATTATTTTTGAAAGAAGTTCAAAGCACAGTAAATATATATTTTTATTTACTCTTTTTTGGGGTTCAACATAATTTAAGTGTGCCACATGGAAGTTTAACTATAGGTTTAAGTGAGCTGTGAGATAAAGGAAGTTGAAAAACACTGCTTTAGCTATTTGAGCTGGCCTCATCCTCCTTTGGTGGGGCCTCCACACAACAGCTCTTGCCCCTCACTCAAGTATTTCACCAGGGACCTGAGGATTGCCTTGCTTCTGCCTGTCATGGCTGGTGCATGCTCTTGGGGTCCTGTATGGAAACCTTCCCAGTTAGGTGTCACCCAGCTTTGGTGACCCCTCCCCAAGACAGAGTATGGCCCAGGGTTCTGGGGACTGCACAACCTAATCTATCATGTAGGGTACCTGAGGACTCATCCTGGGAAACTAATGTTGGGTCTTAACATCTTACTGCTGACATCTCAACTGCCTCCTACCTTCAGGTACCACATACTGACCTGGAGGCCAGTCTGCCCAGTATATCATAACCACTGCCAACACAAGTACCTGGGGCTTGGGACCCAGAAAAGTATCTTACCCAAAGTACCACAACTGCTCCCATGTGCCACCCACCTAGGGGCTCAAGAGTCTACTCACCTGCCCAGTTCCTGCTACTATAACTGGTATCTGACAAAGCCACCCAGAGGCCCAAGAAATGACATGCTTGGAACTGCCAACACAGTTGCCAGCATATGCTGCCCTGGGGAACAAGGATAGATATTCTTGGCCTATTAGTGTTATCCCTGAAGACAGAAGATTGGAGCCATCTGACATTCCAGTCCCCAGTACAACTTTACCACTAACAAGCACAACCTCCACTAATAACCACACCCTACCACACCCAGGAAACCACAGATACTACTAATGCTATTTATAACTAAAGAAATAAAAAAGAGACTTCACTATTGCATGTACCCAGAAGCAAAACAAAAGAAAACAAAACAAATTTTGAAATTGAATAATTCATTAAAGAAAAAAAATATATTCATAAGTGTCAAAAATAGACTATATCAAATAGAAGAAAAGATTTCAGAACTTGAAGACAGTTTTGTTGAAATAACCTAGACAAAAATAAAAAAAAAAAGAAAAAGAAAAAGCCTACCCAACCAACACCACAGACACATCTTTAAGAAAAAGTCCATCCCAATAGAAGCAAATTAAAATAGAGGAAGAAATGACTGTTACACCATATGTGCAAACATCAACATAAAGAGAGAAGAAACATGATAAAGAAAGGAAATATGACATCCCTAAGGGAATATAATAATTTTATAGCAAATAGGTCTTAACCAAAAAGAAATTCTCAAAATCTCAGCTGAAGAATTCAACATATTGATTTAAAAGAAGCCCAATGAGATACAAGAGAATCCTGAAAACTGATAAAAAAGAACTAGAGATATACTCCTAGAAATGAATGAGAAATTTACCAAAGAGATAAATTTACCAAGATATTCAAAAACATAACATAACAAAACAAATTCTGGAATTGAATAATTCATTAAAGGAAAAAATACATTCAAAAACATCAAAAATATACTATATCAAATAGAAGAAAAGATTTCAGAACTTGAAGACAGTTTTGTTGAAATAATCTAGACAAAAATAAAGAAAAAAAGAGAAAAAAATTAAAAAAACA